GTTTTTGCCACTAAAAACCTGGTGATCACCCCAGAAGTGGGTTTAAGTGAGTGGCTATAAGGGCATTAGCCATTGGGACTAAACTATTCATTTTTCTAAGACAAGTATTATGATACACCTTTCAATAATTACCTACTATAAAATATCTTCATTGAAGAATATGGTCTCAACAGATAATAATATCATTGAACGATTTTCAAAAGTTAAAAAAAAGAAACTTGGAATTAATAATGTAATATAAATATTTTTTTTTATAAACAGTTCATTATTGTTATTACTTTTAGGCCTTTAGCCTCCCCCCCATTGGTGAGTGATAAAACCCACCCCTGGGGTCACCCATCTGGGAACTAGTGGCAGCGGGCTATCACGTTACGCGAATGATTACAGCCAAGCCACATACAACATTACATTTTACAATACAAATAATATATTATATTATAATTATTACTATGCTTACACTCGGGAAATAACGCGTCGCACTGTAGAACTAAACTCGTTCAAGGAAATACTAACTGAATAATTATTTTAGTAGTCACCCGTTTAATAAAAATAATTTCATACGACCTCTCACTTATATATTATAATAATTCGCGAACATTAAATTACTGTTCATTTTGCCGCTAAAATCAGTGCTGGTAAAATCATTTTGTTATTGATTGGGTGGGAGAGGAGGGTGATTGGTTTACATAAAACATACRGACTATTTGATCATAAAAAWTTAATTTAAAATATAATTTTTGTTTATCGTTTTAACGTTTCATACCATTTTCATATAATATATGTTATTATAAATATTAAAAAAATGTCAAAATACAACCAACCCCTATCCGTCTGACCGCCACTGATAGAAGTGGCTATAAGTTTACACTTTCCAGATTGTAATAACAAAACGAAATATTATTTGGTGATGTTAWTAATAGGTACGCAACCGTCGGGAAAAGATTCGCACGAAAGTGTATAAGCCATAGCGTAAATGAGGTCGTGAACAGTATATAGGAGGATATGTTTAACAGTTAAAGCTTCCCCACAAGTTGTACATGGGTCTTCTAGTCTCATGAGGTCACGATGAGTAGCCAGGTATGTCCAATTCTTAGTCTATTAATTAGGTACAACTTTGGACAATATATTATATCGTATCCATAGACGTGCGTAGACTTCAATGTTCGGTCGAGCACTGAAAAATTAGTGCCCCAATACATGRACAGTCCCCATAYTTTTTTCCTAAACACATCATCATACATTATAATTATAAATTAATAAGTTTATAATATTTATGTGTATAATAAGTGTATAATTATAATCAATTTGTATCTGCACACAACGTTAACGTGCAAATTTCTATAAATATTTTATCATATTATATAAATACAATTATGTATAAAAGAAGAAAACACATAAGGTACCTACTAAAACTTAAAAAAAAAAGCTTGGCTGATTAAACAAAAATGGTATATATACACATAATTCCTTTTATCAGATGTGGCCAACTTGCGGCTCACGTCAAAATCGTGTGCGGACGCATCTTATTAAAAAAAAATCAATACGAGTATTTCTTATTTCAACGATAAAATTTTACAAATTATAAAATGTATTTATAAAAATTTTTGCTCTTGTTGTTATTGTATTTTTACATGTGGCTCGTGGACGTATTCATGTCGGCCACCACTGGCACCACTGGCAAATAAGTATCTATAATCTACACATACATATTAATAAGTATAGTGCAGAACGTATAAAATATAAAACCACCGTATTATGTATAATATTTATTTGTACACAAATACACAATGTTGTCGTTAATGAATGAAATTGATGTAGTGTTATTTCGCTCTGACTACAAATAAAATGTTCAAACATATTATTATAATTTTTAATAAATGTATAGGTACATACATTTTACTATGCCCACAAAAATATTMTAGTCGAGCCCCGCACGCATGCYCATCATTGTATACCTACTATAGAGTTATTTTATGCAAAGAAATGTAAGAAATCATTTTCTTGCTACGCTAGAATATTAGAATCATAATGCATTAACATAGTAATAAATTGTGATTTTTTTTTAAATAAGTGTTTTTTTAATTACTTAAAATGAAAATATTATTTGATGTATTCCCCCCCCCGAAAATTTGTTCCAGCTTCGACCCTGGATGTAGACGATGTAGTATATAGTTTAAACATAGATAAGATATTATTATTTATTGACTGAATATACATAATACAAAATATATATACAGCCTAAAAACCAATTACAATCGCCAACGACCATACCACGTTGAATACACCAGTTCTMGTCCGATCACTGAAGTTAAGCAACGTCGGGCGTAGTTAGTACTTGGATGGGTGACCGCTTGGGAACACTGCGTGCCGTTGGCAATWTTTTATTTTTTTYATTTCGTTTTGGTTACCATGTATATTTTTTAATCTATTTGTCTTTAGTTAACATTTTGTATTTTTATACTATAATGTTTATTTTGTTGATTAATTACCCGTGGCTTAGAAATAGCGACCACAATTTCACCGAACAATACATTTTTACAAAWCGATTATAAACAGACTATTTTTTTATTTTTTTTTTACTAAACGAAATATACCCTCGGCGACATAGGCCGTTGGGTTACAAAAAAATCAGACTATTGTTGTCTAGAGTTTTTTTTAAATATTTAGTCACTTTGAATAAATAAATACGTATTCGATAAAATGATACGTGTGTTTTCAAATAGGAAACTTAATCTTGAATAGTTGAATAAATTATTTTTATAACTGTTAAACATTTTTATTTTTTTCATTAATTCGTTATTATTATTATACTTAAAGGATTTAAAAAAACGTAGGTTATTTAAAAAAAAATAAACGAGCATATAATTCCATATCATATTTTAATACATAGGTATACCTATAACACGTAATAGCTTATATAATAGAACACGTTGTGTGTGGGCGATAGTACCCTAAGGGGTAACGAAACAAATTATTTTAGCACTCCTAACTTTACAGTTTACACCTAATGGCTTATTGCCTATTGTTATTCTGTGATGGTGCCGGATATACGTATATTACAGCAGTAACATTTGGTCAGATTAAATATGTCGGGATTGAGTTTACCAGGCACCGGCACACCATGTATGTACAACGTAGATAGAATGTATGTATAGTTGGTTATATTATATTAGGTTCCTATTTTAATAATTATAATTATAATATATTCATAAAGAAGAGATTGTAGCAAAMAAATTATTGTTAATAAGTTAGTTTTTCTCTACAGTACTGTTCAAAGAATTTTTTTTCGTTTTAGATTAAAATTGTTTACATTAAAAATTAGCAATAATTGTCAATATTTTTTACCGCAATATAAAAATAAGGAAATATAAGACAGGTGCAAATATCAAGTAATTAGTTTTCGTATCAAAATCAAAAGTTCATACATAATATTATTTAAAATATTTAAAAACTAAAATTCAAAAGAGTAATTTCTGTCAAGTGTTTACTCAACGTTTAATCCATTAAGTCCATTAAGACTATATATAATATTATACGCTTTATGCTCACAAATCGTAGTATTGGATTGGTTTTGTTTCATCGCCAAATGTCGCGTAACTGCTCAAGCTCGCAGATAGAATAAATATTYGTTATTATACCTAATATAATTATTAATTATAATTTAAATTGTTGGTTTTATACTCACATATTATACAGAATAAGTACACCTCAAATAACAACTGCGTGGCTCAATTTACCGATAAAATTGCTAATGTATAGGTTTATAATAATATAATAATTTCAAAACAAACTGAGTTTGCTATACGACGTGTCATTTTGAAATTGTTCACTATACCCGCGGAAAAGTATCATACTGGAAATTATAAACCAAAAGAGCGATCATCGTTTAATGATATAATCTGCAGCTATAGACGYTATAGAGACCTATTATGACGGACTGACGTGATAAATGTAACAAATTTAATATYGTTATGTATATATATTATTATAGTCGTGTGTATAAATCGAATAAAATAATGTGTTTTTGATATTAATATAATATGTTCTTCATTTTGTTGACTCCCACTCTTGATCACGGATACGTATACATCGGAACTGTGATTTTTTTCCCGAAACGATACTGATTGCAGAAATGTGCATTTCAGTTGCAATGGTCTAGACGTCTGAGTGGCAGTTGCAACCACATTTATTCTTTTTTACTACGGGTTCGGTACGAGCTTTCGATGGTGAACTCGAGACAGCCGCGGATGGAGCTTTTTCCCGATTGCTGCAACGGTCACGAGCAGGTGCAGCTGCAGGAGGTTCTGCTGTGGGTACAGGGCAGATAGAAGCTGGACGATCGACCGGTGGACATTTGGACGTGGACCGATCGGCCGGTGGACATTTGGACGTGGACCGATCGGCCGGTGGACATTTGGACGCGAACTGATCGGCTGATGGTGGACTTTTGGACGTGGACCGATCGGACGATGGGCATTTGGACGACGGCGGGTCGGCCGGTGGACCGTTGGGCATCGAACGTTTAGCTGCAGTCGGACAGGTGGAGGTCGACCGATTGGTCGGTGGAATGACGGTGGTCGGATTTGCTTGTTGCTGGACTTCCGGATCCGTCTGTTGACCCGAGTCTCGCTTGGACACACCATTGGTTACGACCGTTCCGAAGTTGATGATGATCTGTGACGATTGTAAGTCTTCCGGGGTGTTACTTTCTTTTGGTTGGTCGGTCGTGCTGGGTTGCATTGGACGCTGCTGGTTCCGGTGCTGTTGCGGACGCGCGTCATTTATTTTGATCCATTTTGGGATCGAATGCAAATTCAAAAAATCACATAGACTAATTTGTGAGCGTTCCGARCTCCCATCGACGACATTATTTTGCGGTTTCGTTGCTACCACCGCGGCGGGCGATTTTTCCTCACATTTTGATATCAGTTTGCAACAGCATCGGACCGACCCGCACGACTGCGCATTTTCATAGTTTTGTCCCATTGTTCTAGTCGTTATACCTAATATTTTTGGRGTGTTACAGTGTTAGGTTAATAGTTAAAAAWTTCGTGCGATTATATATTGTCGTTTTATATTTTTTATTCGCTTGTTTTTTTTTATCACACGTCATATTATTATTCTATAGCAACACACTAGTTTGTATTTTATTTTGAATACATGATTCTAATAACGGTATGATGATATGGGTAAATTTCCTATTCAACTCCAAAACAAAACATGTGCAAAAATGCCAAATAGTTTTTAAATTACGTTTGTAAACTGTTTTATAATGTACCTATCTAAYAACCGGCGCTTTATAAATKTGTAACGCCGCGGCGGTGTCTAAGTTTTTTATGATTAAACGGCGATGGCGGGATGGTTATTTGTCCTAGATAGGTCATGCTAGGATAACTTCGATTTTAGGTACATTTTTGGTATATGCCTAATGTTTATTTATATTAATATTATACAACGWGTATATAATAAATTAATAACTGTATATTATACAGTATACATCGCCTGTAAAAGTATAAGACAATTGAAAACAGAACAATATTGCATTGGACTGCCGTTCAAAACTTTATATAACTTTAATATTTTATCAATTCTGAAACTATATTATAAACCCAATAGAAATTATATATAGCCACTCAATATCAAATGAGGAAAATATACTTTATAACTCAGTATATACGTCAGTGTTTTGTTTTTGTATTTATAGTACCTACTTATTAATATAATTATATATCATTATATGTATGTACCTACCTTTAAACTTCAAAGTAATACTAAAATAAAATAGGTACATTGGCACATTTCTTTTTGTTGGTATAATAAGTGTTGTAATTGTTGAATCACATAATTTCTTTTAGAAYCGTACAAATGTACTATACCTAATGCATAAGGATTTATCGAATTACAATTTAAACTTTAAAGTAAAATAAGAATTAATTTATTATAATTGAATGCCAAATATTTTTAGATTCTGAGCGGAACGAGGAATGTTTCCGAATGTATTGATTTTACCATGATGTGTTTTTTTTGTGTCTGCCATCACGTTTTGGGGCAGTAAAAGTGCTTCGATTTTCGACTTTTCATTACCTTGTTCGATCAGAAAGTGAATCTAGTTAATACTTTGGGCCTTGGGGGGTCAAAAGTAAAAATAATCGGGATAAACAAACTAAAAATTAAGGGAAAAACGGGAAATTTTATGCACAATCAGTTTTCGACAAAATCGATTTTGGTTTTTGATTTTGGTAACTTTAAACCAAATGACCATATAAATACATGCAATTTTCACCGAATGTTTTATGTTTATATAAGTATATTCTATTCACTATGCAATTTTCGACTGAAGTTGAACTATTTATAGGCATATGCAATTTTCGATCATTATTAGTTTTTTTTTTTAAAATTAATATCGATAAAAATTTATTTGTAACAATAGCAGTTGAAAAATATTAAAAATACATAGGCACAATTTTTTTTTAAGTATTTAAAGTTTGAATTTTGACAACATACGTAAAAATCACGAATTCGCAAATTATTTGAAGCTAGAAATTCATAAAAAATGTTCTTTTTAAATCTAAGATTTGAAAATTTTTAATAATCTATAATATATCCTAGACAGATAAACCACTTCCGCTTAGATTCGTTTTTCGTATACAATGATATAATATCATTGGATTAGAATTTAATTCCATTCATTACAGTAACCCACTTGTAACTTGTAACCTGCAGCTATACTGTACAGCAGAGCAACATCCACGACTTACGCGCTTTATTTTATTATATTATTTTAYAGTATCTACATCCAAAATAAAATTCATTATGTCGAAACCCCTTTTTGCATAAAAATTGCAGTTTTTCATAATTTTTTTTTTTGTTTTGTTTTTTCAGGCGTTTTTTGTAAACTACTAGTCATTTTAATTTTTGATCTCCTGAAAATTAGACTTGCTTTTCTACCAGAAAAGATGCTGAAGTTGAAAATTGAAGCATTATTATTTGTTTCAACTATTTAGTATTTATTGTGTATACAGACACAAATAAAAAAAAATAAATAAATAGAAAAAAACACACTCATTATTGCATTAAAATTAATTCTTTCATTGCTCCGCTCGGAATCTGAAACACTGYATTAAACAATACATTCATTACTTTGCTTAGAATTTAAAATATGCAAAAACAGAAAATTTTACTAAAAACTAGTTTTTGAAAAAACATTTTTTGTTGCAGAGATTACGAAAACAAATTATACCGTAAATAGGTACTTTAAATTTTTACCGAATATTGCAGCTTTTTTTTATGCATGGACCATTATTTAAATTTTCTGGTTGATCAAAAATGGCGTTATTACCTCTTTCTATACTTAAACATATTGTAACCTATTTTAGACTATTACATATTATGTTTGTAAGGAGTACGTTTTTAAATAGGTAGTAACACATTTACACATATTACATTTACACGATGGTTATTATTTCCTATTGTCTAKTAATTATACTACAATGTATTAATTTTATACATTTATGCTAAAAATGTTATATTTTTTTGTTAATATACGCGCGAGTATTATCAAAGGTAAACGAAAAAAAACAAWAAAATAAAAAACCAAAGGAAAAAAGACCACACAAAAAAACCACGAAAATAAAAATAAAATTGAAAATTTTATATTTTGCTATATTATGTCATATTTCATCAGACATACATTTTTATTTTCTCATTAAACATTAATTATAGATCAATAATCTAATTTACCAGGTATCCTTTGGTTAGATAAAATCGTACTTATACATCTAATTAATAAATAATAGGAAATAAATTAAATAAAGGAATAATATAATAATAAAAAATATTAAGTTCAAAAGTTTTCAATATCGCGTATACCTACCATCAAAATATATWTTTTTATTTATTCAAAATTTACAAATTTGGTTACAAAAATATTCAACAGAAAGAACACCTGGGCATTTAGATTTTTAATTTAAAAGTTAAAAGTTAAATCTAATGAAATATGATGTAATATACCAAAATATAAAATTTTGGTTTTAATTTTCACGGTTTTTTTTTTTTTGCTTTTTGTTTTGTTTCGTGATTCACTTGCGACTATTATCTACTTATAGTTTATAATGCTATTATAAAAGATTTATTTAGTTCATTAGTTCTATGTATTTAATAATATAATTTAGTAATAATAGGATTGTGGAAGGAGGGCAAATGTCCTTGGATGCCGGATTTGCACTGCTCGACTTCCACTCTTCCCTATGTGCTCTCTCACCCTCTTTATACGTAGAAATGACCACGAAAATAATAATTATTTCGACTTGTCCTACTAACTGTTTTGTTATGTACCTACACTGTTATACAGAAAACAAATGATATGAGGTATATTATAATTAGGCATATTACTATATTAGGTATAATATAAGTTATAAATGTTATAATATTCATATAATGATACGTTCAATCACAAACGATTTGTACAATTGTAYAATTTATTATTATAACAATTACTTATAAAGTTGTAAGTAGTAATTTATAATACATAATACATTAATATCTAATAATAAGTTTTATAATAATGTATTATATTGTATAGGTACGTTGCAAACTTGCAACCTACGAGTTATATCCTTATATGAAATATTATATTATACTAACGGATGCACATCATGCATTGTATAACGAGGAGGTCGACCGATAAAATGCGTAAAAAAAAGAGAAGGACAAACACCGCATACCACGTCTACAGACTGTCGCGGCAAAAACTGCGAAAGTGCGAAAAGYCGAAAACCGTACAAAACTACAAAGCTGGTGGGTAATAGGTATAATCATCCACGGACGCGCGTGCGCAGTGGACCGTCACACAGAGAGTGCATCGTACGCAGTAAATAGTCGTACGCACGTCGTGTCAGCTGCTGCAGCCTCTGCGCTACGCTGACAACAGATCGAGTGCGTTCTTATCACTCGCTCGAAACCTATTTTTACAATTATTGCGAAACAACAACAWCAATAATAGTAATAATTAATAATTAAACGGGTGTAAATATATTACTTGGTTTACCCGTATCAAATAACGTTTAAGATATTATCACAGCGTACGGACGGTTTGCAAAAACAAACAAATAAATAATTAAATAATAACAATTAGTACAATTATTACAACGTCGTATTCTTATCGTTTCCACGATCGTATGCGTGTGCCGCTCCTCCCGCCTGACCGACCTCGACGAAACCGTCGACTGTTCGTACGATAATAATAATAAAATATCGTCGTCGTTGTCGAATCACTCTCGGCGACTTTTGTTCATAGTCTTGTCTGTGTCGTCACTCGTCCGGCAGATGTGTTGGTCTTGGTACCTTCTTACGTTTGATTAAGACGCGCCGCCCAGAAGGACKTTGGTTGTCGACTCGTCGTCGTCGTCGTCGTCGTTGTCGTCAATGTCCCAACGCGGTAGCCGTATTCAGTCGCGACTCGTAAATAGCAAATAAACCTAGTTGTTCATCGACCGATTCGACTAGCTCGACCGATAGGTACTTAAGTAATAAAGCATAACATAATATAGTAGTTATTATGACTTGTGGGCCACCGATGGGTGACCATCGTCACCRACGGATATTCGGCTGGCCATCGGTATTCGTCGCCGCACCGGGTTCTCTAAATATATTCTAAATATATTACACCTCGCATGAATATCGCTTTTTGTTGTTGTTGTTATTGCTATATTATTATACAATTGTGAGGTGCATATTTGGACGTAAACATTATCAATTCACCGTAAGTACTACGCCTACCTGCAAGCTTAATTTTTGTTGCACTCAAAAAAATAAATATTTTTAATTATACCGTAGCTGTTCACTGAGAATTCAATACATCACTGCTTTGATAACTAATGCCAACTCAGACTAATTCATGTTAGGTATCTACTAAAAACTTTTCAATACATCCTGGTACATTTTTATTTTTACACAGTTGGGTAATTAACAACAAATTAATTRTCTGCAATAGAATAATGCTCCCTTTAGTACCAAAACATTGACTTTATACATTTAYCCAAATCATATAAAACTAATATCCATGAGGTTTAATAGCATTTTGTTCTTGGTAAAGGGTAGAGTCCTGAGAAATTTAATTTAAAGTAAGATGTTGAATCAGCTTCTCATACCCTCTTTCGCCATCTGACATCCACATTAWAGTTCTTATATAAAAAACAAACAAGAACATGTTATGTTTCAGCTAGCAACTAACAAATAATATATAATCGAATTACTGTCATCAATGAATAGTCTGACAATATTGGTATTATTCTATGTATTAATTGATAATAGCTTGCCATTTGTTGGACTGACTTTTGCAATATTTTAAAGTAAAACTTACGGTGTTGACTGTACTTTTATTTTTATTTTTTGTTTAAATTAACTTAAATATTTGCATAAAACATAATTAGGTATGTGATTTAGGTTTATAAAATATTAATATTGCTATATAAGTTGGTATAMTAAGGTAACCTAATTATATTTTACATACACTTTATAGTTGGTACATATACACAAATGTAATTACCTAGGTAGGTACTTATAAAAGCATTACTCATAAGTTGGATTTTATAAATCTATACAAAAATTAGGTATCTATATCTTTTAGAATAATTAAAACACATAGACAGTGGCGCCGAAGTCTATGTTGAAGTCGGGCCATGGCCCGACCTCTTTTTTTAAAAATGTGGCTGTCAGGCTGCTTTATATTAACATCATATAACTTTTATTATGAATAAATGTATATTTCACACCCCCTACCCCAAATTTGAATACTTTTTTACGCCAATGGATATTGAGGTCGCGAAGTTTTAAAATTGCCCGACCACATTTTAAAAACTTCGACGCCACTGCACATAGATATAATATGTGATTACTCCTAATAATCAAACCAGTAACAAAATATAGGTATTATATTTCTGATTATTGTGAGGAATTGGTATAAATTTCATAGAAAGATCTTTAGGGAGACTAAATATTATTTGGAAAATAATCTATAGATACCTTCTATTTTTTAATAAATTATATTTTGTTTTGGTCATTCTAAAATATTACAGATTTTACTCGGTTTGTGCGTTATCATATTTAATTGGTAAAAAAGCAGTACCTACCTAACCTTTTTTTAATTAAAAATTAACATTAAATTAGTATTTTCATATCTAGGTATTTTAAAAATAATTATTAAATAGTCCATCAGATAAGACCTCTCCAAATGTATGTACGATAAGTGTTTCTCATTGAATGTCAAGTAATACATTGGCATACAATTTGCATATGAAACTTTACTTTCTAATTTGTTCGTTTAATTGTTATAACATTGAATTGTTACAAAAGTGTTTAAAAATACATAGCTTAGCAAATAAATTTCGAAATACTTAATTAAATATTAATTCTCTTATTTTTGCTTTCAACAATTTATTAATTTTAAACTATAAGTTTGTAATTARTTTATTTTATGTTGAATATTACAACTTATTTTAAAAACTTTTAATTTCTAAACACTTTTCTAATGTTTTGTTTCGTTGTAAAAAAAAAACCTATAGAAGTTCAATTTGTCTAATGGACCAATTTTATTGTTAAATATTTGAATTACAAAGCAATATTTAAATTCAGTTATGTGGTAGTATTTCTTACATAATATTATATTATTATTTAGATAAGTTACGGGGGTTGGAAGTGGTGATTTCTCTCTGTTTGCTTCAATACAGTAAATTAGAACCTTTTCTATTTGTGATTGTCAATTGAACAATTGAAGCAATACAAATTCTACAAATTTAAGGATAAACTTCAGAAGTGATTATACCATTTTTTTTTTTAACTCAAAGGTTGGTTTACAACTCCAAGTAGGGTTGCCAGCTGGCTGGTATKTTCGTGGTCCATCCAGTATAATATCACATTCATAGATTTAAAAAAAGCTGGTTGCCGGTATTAATTTATAAAAACCCGTATTTTAAAGTAATAATTGTAAAATTATAAAATCCAGTATTTCCATATGATTGAGAGTTTCTATATAAATATATATATATTTTATTGTTTTTGTGAAATTGGTTATCAGTAGGGCTTGGATGTTTGTGCACTTGAATCTACTGTAATATGCATGCATTTATGCACTAAAAAATTATGAAATACCGAGTGATTCTTTTATTGAACACTCATTATTTCAAAAATTACTAATGTTTTTGAAAATATTTTTTTACATAGTTTCAAGTTGTTWAAAAACCAACGTTTTTATCAAAACATTTTATTTTAAAATATTTTTATCCTTATCATTTTTTAAGTTTTTTACTTTTCTGAATGACAACATAGAGTTTTAATTTCATATTCCAAAGCAGAATATTTTTCTAAGTATTTTGATTCATAAAAATTGAATTTAGGACGAGTAGTTTATGAGATAAGTATTTAAAGTTTAGATTGGCAGAGTGGAGTGGTACGGAGTTACCCCGCAAAATGTTTGTCCACTACTCCACTTGTCTAAACTTTAAATACTTATAACTCATAAACTACTCGGCCTAAATTCGATTTTTATGAATCAAAATACTTAGAAAAATATTTTGCTTTGGAATATGAAATTAAAACTATGTTATCATTCAAAAAAGTAAAAAACATAAAAAATTATAAGGATTAAAAATATAATTTTTTAATAAAAATGTTGGTTTTTTAACAAATTGAAACTATGTAAAATACTTTTGTTGTCCTTTCCTCATTTTATATTTTTATTATTTTCATACTATTGTCTTTCATCTATAAGTTTTATTATTTTCTTGTTAATCCATTAATCCATGCTTTTATTGATTCTTTCTTTTCATTTTTTGTTAATACAGTATTCACTGCATTTTTGATTACTAATTTTATGTTTTCCCATGCTTTATTCACAGGATCGTCTGTGTTTCTTTTTTTAATATTTGCGATCCATATGGTGTCTATTATTGTTCTTCAACCTCTGCTTTCTTAAGTAATCTGACGACTCACACTATATTTGTTTTGCTGTATTTTTGGCCTTTATGATTTTTTTAAAACTGAGTTTGTATTTCATCATTAAAAGAGAATCACCGAACAAAAGTCCGGCGAAAAAAAGTCTGATGAACAAAAGTCCGGTTACAAAAGTCCCACAAAAAAAAGTCTGAAGTCATAAAAGTCCCGCGAAAAAAAGTCCGGCTTAAAGATACCCAATAAATCGACTTTTGTAACCGGGCTTTTGTTTGTCGGACTTTCTTTCGCCGGACTTTTAGGTAGAATCCTTGATATCCCAAATTTTTATGATAGCTGTCACCGTCAGCACTCAGATTGGGGTATGCTTTGCAGAATATAACTTTGTAGTTGTTTGCTACTTGTTATTTTATGCTTGGACAAAATTTTTATGCTACAAGAATCCAATTCAGAAGACAAAATAGTAATTGCCTAACTAGAGATGTTAAACTGGTGGTTTCCCCATGCCTTCCACATCACAGCCCTGTTTTTAGGAATTGGCGGCCAAGTGTAGATAACATTGTTAATCTAGACTTAGTACTAGAAGCGCTGCTGCCCACTTCTAGGTCCATTATAGTCGGTTCTTACGACAGGTATGGACTGCCATGGATGTATTCTATAACCCCCATCAACAGAAGATGATTATACCATATTAATCATAAATTTAAAATATAATTACACATTAGGTAGTTACTGAATTAAAATAAACAAATCAATTCTTGTGTGTTTGAAAAATAAGTTACCTATGAATATAAATTTAGTATATTTAATATAGTATAACGTTATGTACCTTTTTACAAATCTTTKATCTCAGAAAAATATATACATTATACATTGGCATTTKTATAGTTTATATTTATATTATACTTTTAAATTAAATAGACTGAATCATATTGTATAAAAATGGTATCGTTTTATACTTATATGGGTACTTAGTATACATTTTAACTAATCCTTTTATATCAAAAATAATAATATAATAATGTAATTATTAAAAATCCAAAAATCAATAATAAATTAATGCTATTAACTAATTTTCTGATTATTTGATCTGCTAAAATATCTTTTTACAGTATTTTAAATATTATTAGATGTCATCACTGGTTTTCGATTTGGTAGTTAAAAACAATTAAAACCTAATTAAAAAACACATTGCTTTTTTCACCTCTTCTAAATTATATGTTTTTACATTTTAGGAATCCATTTACATAAATATTTAAAACTACTAATAAAGAATACAATTCATTTTCTATGTGATAAAATATCATATAAGTTATGTTTTTCAACATTTGGTGGTATACTTAAACTTTGATTTATATAAAAATAATAAAATATTCCTACCTAAAATAGTAATTATATTTTAATTTTGGATAATCATGTAATCTAATCTTTTACATACTTTTTTTTGTTGTCACTCAGAAAAATCAAGATTAATTTATAAAATAATGCATTATGTTCAAAAAATGAAATATACACTGTTAATATTATAATACAAATATACAATACATTAATACAGATACTCATAAGTCAGAAATCAATATTGGTAAACCATATTATTTTAAGGTTTGTAATTTATCATGTTATATTAGATGTATATTAGAATATATTGAAAGCACTAATTTAGAGCTAATATCTTTAAAAATAATTATGGTCTTTTAAWTAATGCTAATCTATGTACATATATATAATACATAGATAATAGATGATATATTACCAAATTTCAAATGATCACTTAGAAAAACAATAATTTTAATTTTATTAATATAATGATAAATACTTAAAATATTATGATAACATTTKATTGCCTTACATTAGTAAAATATGCTTATAAAAGAAAAGTATGAAGTTATTACACTGAAATAGGTTTAAACAAAAATTGATTCTCAAAATGTAAAACCTATTAGTGGAAAAAGGAATGTCATTTTTTCTAATTTGATGGGAGCTTGTTACTCCCAAATTATTCATTATCTTTTTATGTAGCAATTATATTGTTTTGTATATAATGCTATTTTAATAATTTTACAATCGTTGATATATTTTAAAGTTCTTAAATTATATTTTTGATCTAGACATGCATGGATTGGAAGCAAATAATTCAAAAACATAGTCGTAAGATCTTGAATAGAATCAGTATGGACTTGATGTTAGAAGCGTATTTGACACACGAATCAAGTCTCATGGATTTGGAAGATATACCGCAAACAGTTGATCCTGTATGGATACTAGGAAAAAAATACAGTACACTTATTGGTAACTAAAAGTTAKACTTTATTTTTAAAAATGTCTAAAAAACCTTTCCTTGAGTAATAGTAATATTATGTTTTATAAAAATTATTTCTTGTTGCTAAAAAGACCTGATAAGTAAATAATTCTGAAAATATTATTTTCTGTTAGTTTCTTTCTACATTAAATTTCTATTAAGATGCTCCACCAGCTTACATTGTCTCTACCTTATATATATATGTATATGTTTCAGCAAATCTATGTGAAAGATTCTTACTAGCTTATTTATACTTCATAGTTATCATTAGAATAAATTTATATTTTATAGACTATACCTTTTAATTTATTAAAATTAATCATTTTTAAAACTTGTTCTARATTTAAATTTGTAATGCACTATAAATAAATACTTCTATTTATATTTATATTAGATGATTTTCTTTTCTTGATGTCTTTGTTTTCTAAATGTTTTCTGTGTATTAAATGAGAAGATTATTTTGTGAAAATTACTCTAACAAATTTTAAAATCATTTTAATTACCTTTTATTGTTTAGTATTATTATGTATATTAATTTATTATGTGTAGATTTACAACAAATTCGGAATGATATCCAATCCAGATTATGGTTTACTTACCGGAAAGGTTTTGTTCAAATTGGCAATACAAATTTCACCTCTGACAGAGGTTGGGGATGTATGTTACGATGCGGACAGATGGTTATTGGCCAAGCACTAATATTCTTACATCTTGGTGAGTTGTATAAATTATTTAAATGTAATTTTACATTTACAATATAAAATATAATATATGGGCTAAACTATTTTCTATTTTCTAATATTTAATTTATAAAAATATCTAAATTAACTCAAAATATGTTGTAGTTGGTGTATCTATTTATTTTCTAAAATCTCTATTAAATAAGTTTGTTGTGTTGATATTAATTTTGTGTAATTAACAGCTAAGACTTAAACTTAAGTTATTTAGTTCTTACACAACATTTATTTTTAATTATATTTAATTTTAAATTGATGAGAAATTCATAGTAAGTAGAAATTTAGAATGCTTTTAGAGTGAACATTGCTAAAAAATGTTAATTTGACAAAAATAAATACTTAAATACCTATTAAAAAAACTTGATCAGTGACATTTTTCAAAACTATTTTTAAATTTTTATGTGTCCGTAACACTATAACACTTTGAAACTTCCTCAAATATATTATCCAAAATAATTGTTGCTATTTAACGTATTATTTTCTACATCAAATGAAGAATATTACAATTATTTAGATTAAAATATGAATACCAGTGTAAGGAATAAGAAGTATGCTCATTGCTCAATGGTAAGTCTGCATATTTTTTAAAGGATAATGTATGCAATCAACAATAAACTCAAGGTAACATCACACATATACATTTAATCTTATGCAATGCTATATGCACTAAAACACAAGCCGATGCACATGCATGAAATAGGACAAAAACATGGTTTGTGTTGAGCTTACTTCTCATTTCTTATACTATAATGAACTCAATTTTTCTAAAATCATATAATAAGTGTTTAAAAATATATATTATATCATATTTATGTATTTTAAGTCAATGAAACAAATAGGCTGAGACAACAAATTGTAATATTTTTATTTTTATTACTGATAAGTAGGTAAATTAAAAACTTGTCCAATATTTAAGGCTCATAGTTTGTGTGGCATTTTTGATTGATTGTTTCTCTTTATAGTAAATCTTTATTGTGTCTTATTTCATCTGTTTTTGTTTGAGAACCTTAATTGCTTAACCACATTCTTTGAATTTAATCTGAAATCGGTTAATTGGTCGTTGAGGATTAAAGGTCTAATGATAAAGGCAGATCTATCAATCTTGAGGAGTTTATTGAAACTGGTTAGTTCATGGTATTTTTAGTCACTCAAGAGTAGGTAAAGGTATATCACTGAGTGATAGTTCTAGATAACATCTAGTGATGCACTAAGTGCAAGTCTTTGAGTGGTGCCCACCGTAATCAAATATCTACAACCCAGTTACTTTGTTTTAAGCTGTGTTTTACTATTTTTTTTTATAATGATACAAAAAAGTTTTATAATTTAGATATACAAATAAATAGAGGATAATATAATTACTATAATATAAATTATATTACGCATTATTAATAATAAATAAAATAATTAATTATGGTTTTTGAAATGAAATAACATTTTTTCATGTTTACATATAAATTTATTTGAAAAATAAACCTTTCTAGGTAGAGATTGGCGCTGGGATCCAGATAAGAGAGATATAGATTACTTAAAAATTCTAAGAATGTTCGAAGACAAGCGATCTGCACCCTATTCAATTCATCAGATTGCTCTTATGGGTGTATCTCATGGTAAGCAAGTTGGTGAGTGGTTTGGTCCAAACACAATAGCTCAAGTGTTAAAGTAAGTATTTTTTTGGATGAMAAAATTCATGGTTTAAAAAGTTATATATTATATKTATTATTATTGTATAGAAAATTAGCCACTATGGACGAATTGAGCTCTCTTGTTTTTCATGTTGCATTAGACAACACACTAGTCATTAATGAAGTCAGTGAGTACACAATATTCATGATTAAAATCCTTTTTTCTAATTGATAATATATATATATATAAAATATTTTTTAAACTACATTATTATTTATTTTTTTTAGAAAAATTATGTACTGTGATGGAACAAACTAATTCTAATAAGCAAACTTGGAAACCTTTGGTACTAGTGATTCCTYTACGTTTAGGAATAAGTGTAATTAACCCTGCTTATGTTCAAGGTGTTAAAGTGAGTAACATAGCATATATTAGATTAGTAAACTAGGCGATGCAAATGTTGCTCAGTGAAGATATTTTGTCATCTAGTTGATTGTATTTTAAAAGACTGGGTGACACAATTTTCAACAAATAATTTTTATACCACCTATATTAAAAAAATAATGTAGAGAAGAATAGCTTTATAGATTGGTAATAGGTACTTAAATGGACAGGTAATGTCATATTATCAATTTTAAATACAAAATGCTTGTATTATTGTTGGATATGAGAAATTAAGTTATAATAGTAATAGTAATAATCATTATACATTTATAACGATAAGCTTACAAATTCTGATAATGTGTACAAATGTTCACAAAAAAAAATTCATTATTATATGTGTGGAATGAGATGGTTCACTGAATCGATAGGTAATTGGCTTTATTTTGGCTATGCAACCAAACTAATTATCTGGTTCAATTACATTTTTAGATGGGTTTTGCTTCAAAGAAATGGTKAAGTGTTTTAGATGTATGGAAAATTAAACAAAATTGCACGTTTCAGTTTTTTTCATATAAAAATGCACTAAATACTACTGTTGTACACATATTTTAGATTCTGAGCGGAGCGATGAATGTATTGATTTTACCATGATGTGTTTTAATTTTTTTATTTTTTTTTGTGTCTGTCATCACGTTTTGGGGCAGTAAAAGTGCTTCGATTTAACTTCAGTACCTCGTTGGATCAGAAAGTGAATCTGGTTGGTACTTTGGGGGGTCAAAAGTAAAAATAATCGGGATAAACAAACTAAAAATTAAGGGAAAAACGGGAAATTTTACGCACAATCAATTTTCGACAAAATCAATTTTGGTTTTTGATATAAYTTTAAAACAAATGACCATCATAGATACATGAAATTTTCACTGAATGTTTGTATAGGTATATTCTATCCACCTTGCAATTAATTAATTCATAGTCACAATTTTTTTTTTTACAAGGATTTAAAGTTTGAATTTTGACAGCATATACGTAAAAATCACGAAAATTCGCAAATTATTTTAAGCTAGAAAATTTTAAAAACAAAATGTCTTTTTAAATCTAAGATTTGAAAATTTTTAATAATCTATAATATATCCTAGACTAATAAACTGTTTCCGCTTAGAATCGTTTTTTGTATACATTGATATAATATCATTGGATTCAAACTTAATTCCATCCATTACAGAAACCCACTTGTAATCTACTGTACAGCAGAGCGACATCTACGACTTACCTGCTTTTTTATACTATGTTGTTATATGAAGTATTGGACTAGGACTTTTATATAATATAATTTTATATATATACAGAGTGTCTCACGATGATGYGACATATAGAATAACTTTTCTTGTACTCAATATTTTTACATTTTTTTTCTGTATAATTCAGAATAATATTATTGAAATATGAGAAAGTTATTTTGTTTTATGAAAACAGTTTTGTCCAAAATCAATCTTTCCCGTTCTCACCAGATACTCATTTTAACAAAATCCATTTTAGGCATTTTAATAAAATTAAATTGCTGATGGTTTTTAAATATAGATTAATAAATGTCTACTATAGTTCAATATATTTTATGTATTGATAATACATTGTTTAATGTTATTTACAATACTAATAAAAATCATTAAAAATCAATTAGTGTAAAAAATAAAAATATTTATTTAATCTAATATTTTGTATAATTTTATATTATTTTAGTTTGGGTACTAATAATTGATAGAAAATTATTAATATATAATATATTAAAAGCTTTTATGTTAATCTGTGATCCTAATTTATATTCAAAATTAATTTGTTGCTTCTTTTACAATCAGTTAATTTTGAGAATATAAAAATCCTCGGCTTCTATTTATAAATTAAAAATTAAAATATTGTGAATTTGATTTGGCAATTTTAAAAATGATTAAATATTAATTAGATTTGTTATGTTTATGTTTCAGATGTGTTTCACTTTCTCACAGTCTTTAGGTGTGATTGGTGGAAGACCTAACCATGCTCTATATTTTATAGGTTTTGTGGGTATATAAATCATTTTTAATGATTCCATGACCAATTTAACTATTGGTTGTTGATAGCTGATATTTAGTTGTAATATAAGTTTTATTTGATTTTTGTAAATTAGGCAATGATGTAATATTTTTGGATCCACACACGACACAGCAAATAGGAATGCTGCCGAACAAAGATATAGAAACCGAACATAAAATTGATCATTCATATCACTGCCAGCAAATTAACAGACTACCAATCCTTAACATGGATCCATCACTTGCCGCCGTAAGTGGTTTTTTACTTTTACTGTCATAGTTATGATGCATATTTCCTAAAATTACTTTTAAATAAATGAAAAAAAAAATGGAATAACTTCTTTGTTAGCAACAACTTGGGCCTCTGCTGAAAATAGTTACCACAAAAAAGAAAAAAAAACAATTTTTTTGAGTCCTAAATTTCAAGATAAATATAAGATAATATTACATTTAAATTTAATACTGATGATTTTTATTATTAAATAACTTTTACCTTCAGATACATTTTCTTAAAGGCTTAGGAAGTAACTTTTCATTAGTTGACATTAGTACTGTGCATAATTTGACGAATAAAATTATTATAGTTGTTATATGTCTGATGAAAAGTTACAGAAGACAATGTGTGTTAAGAGTTTCAAAAAGTTAACTATGTAGGTTCCCGGTTTTTAAGTTTTTGCATATAATTACTAAACATATGTAGTATTATAAGAGTTAAGTATGTTACAGATTTGTTCATCACAAGAGTGTAACAAGAACAATATTTCTTTTAATATTGACAATATTTCAAGGGTTAGGAAATATTTAGGTTTGTGAGTAAATTATATGTGTTATATCTATGTACATAAGAGATRCTTTTTAGTTACTTGCTAACTGATAAGTGTTAGCAAAACATAAAAATAATAATAATAATAAAAATTAGAAGAAATTAGTACCTACAATGAATAGTGAAAAACAAGTTTTATATTTGGATTCAAGTCGACTAGAAAAATAACTTTCCATTCAAYTATGAGATCTTTATAATACCCATGGTTACACAAAAATATACAAAAAATGAAGATATTAATTGTCTACATTATATAAATTGCAAAACAAATGTATTAATTTATATTAAAATTAACTTAAAGATGTGTATTTGTGTTTGCTACGTTAGTTATCAACAGTGTGATATTATGTGAATTAAAATGTGTGATAGTTAAATATTTAAATAGTMGTACCTCAACTTTTGGGTATTAAACATTTTTTAATCCAAATTTATGAAATATGCAAGTTAACTTGGATTTATGGATTTGGATAGATTTAAAATTGGCTGTTATTTTTACTTGACTTAAGAAAAAATATGATTAATTAATAGTTTACCCACTTATTAAAAGTTATAAAGATAGTATATTATTATTACTAAATATAAATTAATATTTTGAATATAATTGATTCAATGAATTAATAGATTTTTTTAAATAAATAAGTACCAGTTGTTTAATAACTGGGTTATGATTTTTATATAAAAAATTCTGTTTTATTCTTTTAGCATTCTGTTAAAATCACCGCTGTCGTCTGATTTGCTCAAATAATTAAAAAAAAACATGTTATGCTATTTTTTATCTTGTTGCAACAAAATTTAATTTTTCAAATATGCCATTGTATCATGTTAGCAGCCCCATCAAATTAACTGTTGTAATTAATTTTATCTAAATCATGTAGTTTTATTTAATCTTTTAATTAATTTAATACTGCTACCTCACTAAAATTATGCTAAAGCATTACACTGTGTGATAATTTTTATGCATTACTGTTTAACACAAATTTAATACAATTAGTAAGTTGATCCATCATACTTACATCTTGAATACTAACAATCATAATACTGCATTTTTTATTTTATTTTATTTCTTCTATAATTTTTACCTTCAATAGGAGCATCAATTCTATTTTTTCATAAATTTTGTGCTTCGATAAAAAAGTAATAAGTGATTCTCATTAACTTGTTATCTTTATGTCATTTGATTCAATTGATTTTTAATATCTTTAAAGTTTTTTAGTTAAGTAAAAACTACCAAATACCTAACCCGAAGAGGAATTAGTACAAATAAATAAAAAACATGCAAAAACTTAGAGATTAATAAGTTTTAAGCTTACATTTCATCTTATTTTCTCTTGAGATTTTTGAATGGAAAGAAATTTTTTTTTACGAAATACTGTATTGTATTACAGTAAAATTATATTTGCGACCCATATTAATATAAATTACAAATGTCAAGTTACGATTTTCTTGGATACCAATTAGAGCTGCATATTTAAGTATCTAATATAATATATTCTAATAACATGTGTGGTGATTTTAGTGTTTTATGTGCCAGACTGAAAACGATTTTAACACACTGTGTAATGAGCTAAAAGTACATTTAGTGCAGTCTGACCATTCACCATCACAACCATTAATCACTATATGTGAAGATCGGCCATCCGATTGGACGTTAGACACCTCCGGAACTCTATCCACATCGTCTGAAAATGTTGCTGTGTCATTATCAGGTAAGTCACATCCTATAGATGTTTTTTTCAATAAAAATAAAAAGTTTAAGGTTAAATTGTCTACATACATATTATATACTTCAATATTTTTAATTTGTTGTATAAAAGTGATTTTCTTGATCACTGAGTTGGTTGATATAGTTGATGCAGTCACCTGCTGTTAAATTGTATATTGAAATATTTTAATTTAATTTTTGTTTTTTTTCAGACTTGGAACTAAGTGACAAAAAATTGTTAACTGATTCAGACGACGATTTTGAACTGTTGTGATATATATGATTTATGAACCAAAAGGATTCTTAATAATTCTTAACATTCATATTTAAGTAGGGCATATTTATATTTATGCAAACAAACAATAAAACATTATATTATACAGTTTAAAAAAGATAATGTATAATACAATTTCTGGTTGGTGTCTCAGTGAATATGTTTTGATAGCCCTTCCAATTAAATGTTCTTTAATTTTTATTATTATTATATAATCATTATTACTATCATAATTATTATTAATTTATTATTAGTTTCGGTTATGTTTTATGTTATTAAAAATATTTTTGTTATTACAACACATGAAGTATAATTTTACTAAGCAATTCTCGTTTAAACACTGCTGGTGTACAAATCTTTATTTCACGATTTTAAATGATCGATTATCATTGAATTTGTTGTTTAATTTTCATAATATGATTTATGTAGGAAATTATTACAGCATTAAAGCCCTTAATGTTAAACTAGTCTGTATTTTTAATTTTTCATAAATATGTATACTCAACTATGCAAAACAAAAAYGAAACAAATTGTTTCCTTTACACATTAAGTATGTCAAACTTATTATTTTGTCCCAAATAACCTTTTTTTTTTATTATATATATGTTATATTATTGGTTAGTATACGATCAATCATTGTTTAACTTGGCTGCCGTACGTATAGCAATACAATATTTGCAATAAAATATGTTAATTATTTTTGTTGAATTGTGTAATACAAATAAATAATTTAACTAAATGTAAATGTAAATGAAAAGAAACCAAATTAAAATAAATATATTTTATTTATTCTTTGTATTTATTTGGATTTATCAAAATCTAGAAATATAATATTCTGTCTTCTGGTATTTCATATTTATGTATAAATAATTATAATTTAGGCTCGGCAGTTATATTGAAAATACAATAGTGTTGTATATTGGACATCTTAATGAAATATTAAACCAAATAGATACATATTTCTACAATTAGTTATTACTTATTATTAAATAATAAAAAATTTTCTTAGGTTATCTAGAAGTTTGTACAAAAAAACTATTTTATTATTCTGATGATTGTAAAGTAATAACTAAATTATAGCTTTGCTGATTATTAAAATATTTTTTTGGTAGAAAAGTTCTTTTGCCATCTTAGATTTTAATTAAGATATGTTTAAGYACAATACCATTATTGGAGTGGTAATATAATAAAATTAACRAAATAAGTTTATTTGTAAAACATAAGATGTTTTCTTTGAATTTATTCTATGAAATGAAAAAAATATAATACAAATTACTTTTGATTCTTATAATATAACGCGTTTCTGTTTCAACTTGTTTCAAGTATTGTGAATAAAAGCAAAAACAAATTAATATTAATTCTGAAAATATATATGTTGCGGGTATTGAGTTTAAAAAAACTACACGAGAATGTGCGAGCCCACCGTTACAGTCTGGGGAAGTAAAACTTCTTTTCATAAGTATTGGAGTCAGTGAAATTAAAAGTGAATTATAAATTATAAATTATAAATATAAAATTATAAAAGTTTAAATTATAATAATTATGTATAGATTTGTATAAAAACAATAAAGGTATAACAACTGTCATCTGTCACTATAACAATAATCGTTGCGTTTCATTTTTTTTCCACCCAAACCTCAATAAAGAAGTTTTACTTCAAAAAATATATTATGTATATTGTGTTTAATTTTAATTTTCACAATTAAATTTTTCAATTGTTAAACCTAAAGTCTATTTGTACCATACTAAAATTAACATTTATTTTTATACAGGATATTTTATATGAATAAGTCACGCGGACTGGTTTATTTATGTAACTTCATTGTATTTTACATAGAGTTTATCAACTAATAATTGATATTAATAAGTATACATACTTAACTTCTACAAGAATTACTTACCAGCATATATAATAAATGTATGATGTATAATTTAACTTGAGATAATTTACCGTCATAAATTGTATACATTATTTTGTGTTTAGTCTATTAATACAGAATTATGAATCACATAACTTTGTGTCTAGAACCTAATTTTTTTTTGGATATTTATAAATTTTGTTATCTAATTTTAATATAAACTTAGGTTTAAAAAAAACAAAAATTATAACAAATGTGCAGGTTAAATAAGTTCTAGTCTGGGATTTATTATTTTTGTTGAATCAGTTATTTCAGTAAAAAAAAATGCTCATAGTTACATAAAAGAGTTGGAAGTGTTTTGAAAAATGAAGACTTATACAAAATATGTAAAATAATTGAATAGTTTGTTTTTGTTTACTAGTTTTTTAATAATTAATTATGATAGTGCATATATTATATTTAATCTCATATTAAATTAATAAAACTGCTGAACATTGCTATGTATTTCAAGAAAGTGGTTAGTATTTAACAACTTTTTGACCATCCACAAGGCCTAAAAAAAATAATTATTATTTAAAAAAATATTATGCAGATAAATTGAAGTTCTAAATATTGCAATATTATATGTACTATTATTTACCTTTCATTTTTGTACGGAGTGATGTTTGTTACTGGTTGGTGTAGTTTGCTTTGGTTGCGCCTTAGGCAATTGTGGAGGACCCATTTTACTTATTCCAGCCAATGGTCTTAATGGTATCAATCCAGGCATTGGTGGTGGTCCCATTTGACCCATACCAGACAATTTTGGAAATCCACCTCKACTCATACTAGACAATTTTGGTGATTCACCTCGACCCATACCAAGCATTGGTGGCTGTCCATCTAAAAAATAATTACATATATTATTGAATATCTTGTGAAAGAAAAGATAATAGAGTTGTAATTAATAGTAAATAAATTAGGAAAAAATATACCTTTTTTGGTTGGTGGTAAAGGTGGCATCATTTGGTTACGTAAACCCATCAATGAAGGTTTGTTATTATCCATATTTGAAACCGTAGAAGTAGCCAGGCCATTTTCAATATTTCTCATTGTCCCTTGGAAACATATTATTAAAATAAAATAAAATAAATAATTATCTATTCATTTATACATGTAATTTGAAACAATATTTTTGAATTTGTTCTAGAAAACAATAGTCAATCATGTTATTAAAAACTTAAACTTTCAAAGATTAAATTAATGATCCCATAAATCACAACAACGTTGAAGTTTTATAGCAACTTTTCATCAAGCTAACATTATCTAACATAATATTTTTAAAATTTATCATACTCAAATAGATATCTAATAGTTGGAAAGTTGCTTAAAATAAAATAAATGAACAAAATTTATTAAAGTACCATCATTTATAGCAAATTAAAAAAATTATATATTATATTATATTATTATAAATCAATGGCATAAAAGCTTTTCCATGGCATATAGTGAGCTAAAAATTGGTCCGTAAGTAGTAGCCAGTGGCCAGTGGGTAATGTATACTGCACAGATATTGGAACACTTTTCCTCGTACAGTTGTAACGTTATATTTTATTTATATGAATTACACAAAAATATTATGAAATCATTTATAAAATTTTAAAATTGTTTTACTGGTTGGTAAAAGATATCAGAAATTAAAACTAAAATAGTACTTATAATATTCAATTTTATCTTGATTGTATCAAAATGGTTTTTATTGGGATAGGTATTGGAAAGTTACAATTTTTAATTATTTTGTTGGAAATAAAAATTATTGAACAGATTTTTAAATTTGTTACCTAATTCAGAGTTTTAAAGAAAGATTAACATAGTTTAGTAAGTACCTATTTAATTATTATAATATACAATAAATAATAATTAAAATGTTGATCAATATAACATAATATTATGTTGTATCCCATATTCAAACTTATTATTTAATTTAATTCCTCTAGATAGGTAAGTATTATTGGTAGGTATAATAGTTTACTCCAGATAGGTATATTTCCATACTAATTCATACATAATAAAAAAATTATTTAATGAAAAATGTAAGTAGTCGTTATTTAAGTTAAAATATAATTTATAGAATAACTGTACCTATAGTTAAAGATATTAACAGATATCATACCTACGAAAGGCATGATGGAAKACATTCCTCGTCCCGCAATACGTGTTAAACTTGAACCACGACTCGAGGTAGGTACTCTAGGAACATCTTCAATGAGTGGAGGACCTTCTATAGTTATTGATAAAACATTTTGTCCACGTAATATAATTAAACCAAGTACACGCCTTTGTTCGCTTGGTGTGTTACGACTACGTCTCTTTGTTTGGCGAATTTCTTCACAATCGTCCAAAATCAAATTCATATGTTTATCGAAGGCTGTAAAATACGTAAAAAACCATATAGATATCTGAAAAATTATCAAATATTTAACTATTTAAACTTTTTAAACAAAATAGAACCTTTAAATAAGCCGATAAATATTGCTGTATCTTGCAAGGTGACTCGCACTCTGTAATTGATATGCTGCATTAATTTATTTATTTTTGTGTCCGGCTATAACAAATACGAATTAATAAAAAAAAAAAAATACTTCCTGTACAGAAAATACAAAATAGAAAAATAACACATTATCTAATATATCAAAAATAAAATTTTTTTGTCGATTAACAAATTTTTATAAATCACACGAATTTCCATATATCTTAAAATGTTGAAGACATTTAAATATTTCTTTACTTATATATTATAGCTTATATATAGAAACATTTATTGCAATGTTTCTCCACAAAAATAGTTCGAGAACTGTTAAAGAGGATGTAGTTCACATGTAATTCAATAAGATTTATCATATTATATAATGTGTTCAGAAGTTCCAATGACTATTAAATTACATCGGTACTGAAATAAATTTTGGCCATTATTAAAATAATGTCTAAGACAAAAGTACTAACCATTATGTTTGCGAAAAATATTACGCTGCACTTTAAATTGTTTAACAGTTATGTTAAAATATTTGCAATCGATTAAAAACTGTGTTGCACGATTAATAAGTTTACATACACAATCAGTAAATAAAAAAAAATATTGTTAGTTAAATTAAATCGATCGAGTAAGCAACTATGATGTGAAATAAAACAAGTGAAAAATGTATGTAAGTACAACAAGTTGATTTGTAAAGGGGATGATAAAAGAGCGTCATTCACTATCAACAAATGTTCTCTTCTTCAGGAATCACTCCCGACTATATTTTTCAAAGTGGTAACACTGTTTTTAGGTATATTTGACTTGGAATCTTATTGATTGGGAAATATTAGGCTTTTTGTAGACCTAAGGCAGCTATAGAAGTCTGATAAGAGATAACGTGTACGTTTTCCATTAGAATTATAGTACGTTACATATTAATTAGGGGTWGATGATTTCTGGATAGGAGTCCACATTCTATGAATTTACTCATATCCGGTGCAAACCGGTTAATATCTATTGTTTATTAGTTTCCAAACAGTTCCGGTATTCAACAACAATCTACTTTGCATATACAATTTAAAAAAAAAAACACAAATATACTTTTAATTTATGACGTATATTATATCTACGTATGATTTATATAATAGCTTTAATTCTCTGAACTCGTCGAATAACCCAGTGTGGCATACGCAGGATTATTATTAAATAGTGTAGGGCTTGAAAATCAATAATTCAAATTTTATTTTCACTTTGTTTAATCTAATAATTTCAGACGTTTAGTTTAGATATTTAAGAGAGTTTGTTCAACATCAACTTCTCAACTATTCTAGTAGAAAAAACTTTCTAATAATCAACTTTGATGGAACTTTTTGCGGTATATTATGGGTTATTGCGAT